TTACCTGTTGGCCAAAACCTATTTCAAGGCAGCAAAGGTGGCCACTGAGAAAGCCTCGGCGGAGGAGAACCTAGCAGATGTAATGGAGGTGAGATTTAATCTCCAAAGCTGATCTGTTAGAGTATTCCACCAGGTGCTGAAACTGAAAGTGTTTAGGGAATTGCTCAGAACTTTTTACATGAACAAAACATTTACTATTATCAGGAGGTGGCAGGTGTCCATGAAGCTATCAGGTTCAACCACGGTCTCAGGAAGTGTGTGGACACCATTATTGGAAAGGTAAAATACCAATTTGTTTTCTTTTTATGTGTAAATCCAAAGTTTAATGCTGCATTTACAGTTTTTACATCCGGGATGTGTTTTTATTCAAGATTCAAAGGTTTATTGGCATAACATATACACTACTACGGTGTGATAACAAGACATACAAATACATAAAAAGATAAGAAACAACAATAAAAACAAAAATAGTGCAAGTTCAGGTGTTAAATAGTCTTATGGCCTGTAGGATGAAACTGTAAGTGTGATCTCATTTCAGTGTCCGGCTGAGTACCAAGAAGAGTTGGTGAGAAATGCAGAAAGTTCCCGGGGTGAGCAGAATGTACTTCCCACCAAAGGAGGCCTGTTTAAGCTTCATAAAAAGGTAAATATTATTTGTAATATTTCAGTTTGGTTTTGAACAAACAATGCAAACAATTACATGATATTGTTACTTGTGTGTTCTTGTGTTTCAGGTAATCTCTGCAGTGCAGAGACAGGGTCAGACCCTGGTTAAGTGGTCCATCTTGTTAGAGCAGGCCTTCCATCTAGAAGATGTAGCCAAAAGCCAGAGCAGCCCGCTCCGACACTTCACCCACAGCTTCCCCTCAGAACAGAACCACGGCTGGGTCCGACGGTTCATTTACACTCCTACTGTGGGTGAGTCCAGTCAGCTCCTAAACCTCAGATACATAACGAAAGTACTCTTAACACTTCATTTAGATGAATTATGTAGGTACTTCAGATTGATAATTTGCATTTTTTGGGACCTTATTTATGCCCCTACATTCCAAGTCCTCTACAGGACTGTAAATAGCTTGCTGGTGTCTTGGGTTTTAATTAAAAAAAAATTCTACAACTGATCAAATTCCTCATCAATAGTAGATCATTTGGATTCTGAATGCTACTATTTTTTCATTCCAGTCAATCTGGCCTTCTAATTTTTATGATTGTAGACACAGCCTGCCGGATAAATTCCCTTAACTACCTGCTTGGATAGAAAGGTGTACTCTATTTTCCAATGACCAAAATGTATTACTTTTTCAACAAGAACATATCAAGGTTCAAGGCTTTTTTATTGGTTATACGAACACAAAGTCTTTTATAAGAAAATAGTTTTCTTATATTGTATGGCCCTTATTCTGTAAGACCGGTGCAGAAGTTTTACTTTTTTTGCACATTTTGTTTTCTTCAATAATTCAATAATGGCTTTATAACGACCTTATATATCCCAGAATTTTCCTAATTTTATTAAATTAATGGGTGGGTTTCACTGCTTGATAAATGCTGTTTAACTCTCTTTGGCATACTCTGCATTACATGTCTTCTTAATACTTAAAAAGCATGATGCATGAAAAGACATTAAGTATGAAATACTGTTTCCATACCTGCAGCATGTACTCATGCACCAGCGTGTGTATGTGTGTGTCCCTCTCAGAGTGGTACTGGGAGTGTGTGTGCAGGCAGGGTTTCTACAGGCTGCTGGCAGTGCTGCTGTGCCTCCTCTCAGCAGCAGTGGTTTGGTCTGAGTGCACCTTCTTCAGCACGCACCCTGTCCTCTCCCTCTTCGCTGTCTTTGTTCAGATGGCTGAAAAACATCACAACTACATCTGTATCGAGGTAGGCATGTATTCAGTAAAACATAAGCTTTATTAAGCTACCTTATATCCTGTGGAGGTCATTTTGTGGTTCATAGTTCCAATATGGATATTTATGATCTCATGTATCGAACATTATATTGAAGTAACACCCTTGCCTCTCTCCTTTTTTTGTTTCTCTCCACCAGATGGCGTGCTTTGTCAGCATCCTCTTCCTGTGTTTCTGTGTCTACTCAACAGTGTTCAGGATACGAGTCTTCAACTACTATTACCTGGTGCCACATCACCAGACTGACGCTTACAGCCTGCAGTTCAGCGGCATGTATGTTCCCGTCATAATATAAGATAATTAGTCATTTATTTCACTTTTATAGGAGGCATACTGAAACGTATAGAGCACAATCTCAATAGAGGATCACAGTCAGTACCTCCATTTGTTAAACTACTGTTTTATGATATCGTCTTGCTTTTCTTTGTTTGTTTCTTCTCAGGTTGTTTTGTCGTCTGACCCCACCTTTGTGCCTCAACTTTTTGGGCCTGATTCACATGGACTCTGCTATCTCACACCAGGACAGAATACAGACATCCTACACCTCTGTGGGTTTCACACAAACAAGCACATACCAACAGATTCATAGTATCAAAGACATATAATGCAGACTCATTTAAGTGTGTCTTTATAGAAAATATTTGTAGGACTAACAACATTTCTTTGGGTTGAAATAAATGGAGTGATGCAATGTCCCTCTTTCTTTGTCCCTCTGGCAGATCATGGGCTCTATGAGTGTTTTATATTTTATATCTGATGGGTTCTACATCTACTATCCCATGTTGGTATTGCTGCTCTGCTTTGCTACTTATTACAGGTAAGCCATTAATCACTTACAACTAAAAACAGTTGTTCAAACGCAATGAACAGTGTCTTTTTTAATTGTGTGTCTGTGTTTGTAGCCTGGGCTCTCGCTGTTTGAACCTCCTGGGCTTTCATCAGTACATCACTGACGACCACTTGACCTCTGACCTGGTGGATGAAGGCAGGGAACACATCAGAAGAGGTATTTTTATCACAACTCTCGCTATTTATGATGCATCTGCTCAAAGGTGCAGTATTTGTTTGGCTTTTGTGTTTAACTTCATTATGTTATACAAATGAGCCACATTAGTGAAGCCTCTATCTATAATTTCTTCCTTTCTGTGTTTCAAGTCAACTTAATTGTTAGTTTTACTTTGAATTTCTTATACCTCAATTCATATTAAGTTGTTGTATATCCTAAAGACATTATTTGATCACTGTGGAGTTATAATAATTTGACTTAATAATTTATGATATGGACTATTTGTTTGTTTTTTAAGAAAGAAGAAAAAGACAGAAAGCTGAGGATGGAGAAAATCGAAGATGGGTAAGAAATGTTTATTCTATACAAACTTTTTTCATTACGAGTAGCGAAAGAAAATCCTCCGAATCAGTTGGCTTATTGGTCCTAGTGGTTTGTGCTAATTGTGTCAAGGTATTTATGTTTTTGTTTCCTGCTTCAGGCCTGGAGGGATCGGTATGGAGCCCAGGAGGGGGCTGGGCGGAGCAGAGCTGGTTACACTGAGATAAATGACGACCAGAGCAGTCCTGTCACAGAGACCAAGAATAGTGGTAAGGATTCAAAAAAAATTGCATTACAATGGAATAGAAAATGTGTCTGTGTTACTCACAGCTACTCCAACTAAGAAGATACAACTTTCCAACAGCGTCTTGCTAATGGCTTGGTTCTAATTTGTTATGCTTGTTTGTATTATTGTTTTTATTATAAATAGTTTAACACTGGAGTCTCACTTACATCAATAGGTCTGCCTGCTTACAGTACGCTTACAGTGGTCTCTGTCTTTCTTAGTTATCACATTCAGAAGAGATGGTGAGGAGGAGGATGAGCAGCACAGAAGCTTACTGCGAGATCATTACAGTGATGAAGGTTCACCAAACAGAAGGTTTGTTCTTTTTGCAAAATAAATTGAACAGTGTTTAATTTGAGCTTTTAACAATCAAACAGACTTCTTTAACTCAATCTGTCTCTCTGTGTCACTGTAGATCCACAGGAGGACGTTATTTGTCTCTGTCTCCTTCGCGGGCAGGCATCTTTGACGATGTTTGAAAGAAATAAGACATCTCGGGAGAGCAAAAAAAGCTCATATGCTTGACATGAAAAAAAGGACTAAAGACTTCTTAAGGGAAGTCTAAACAAAAAGGATTGTCTCAGGAAGTAAAGAGGAAGTCGTCGCTTCTGAGATATAGACATACACTCGGTTAGAATCATTGTATACATAAAGAAAAAGTCTGTGATTAACCACCTGTTCAGCCAAACCCTTTTGAATGTATTATTGTGCTATTGTCTTTCCTGCAGTAGTATTTTATAATTTCAGATTGATGAATGAAAGAAAAAAATGCCACATTTACACACTTACTGTATCCAAGGATAATCAAATGTGATACATGTGGACATTTGTTGATGTCTGGATATTTCACCATAAGAGTGGATACATGTTATATCTGAATTAAATAGCCCACTGAGAAAACTGTGAAAACAAAATGAATTCAAAACTGGTTTAAGCATTTAAAGGGAGGACACTATCATATCAACAGCCTAATTTATTTTCTGTTGAGTATTTTGTGTATGGAAAAACGTTAATTGTTGTATATAATGTAGTCAACAGCCAATTATTTTCCGTTAAGGTATTTATGTTTTGTATAATTGGGTGTTTACTACAAAAATGCATTAAAATGTGATAATTGTACCCATTGATGCAATCTTCATCATGATTTTGAATGACTTTTAACTTGATTCACCACCTCAAGATGTTCTCTGTTTTAGTTGATTGTATTTCCGTCTGAAATGTTAAGCTTTAACACTCAACCTGTGATGAAGGTGGCTTCTAAACCTCCTTGTAAATTATATCATTTTGTAATACAGTGTTTATAAATTGAACAATCAAAGGAAATACTGCATCAAAAATGCCATAGGCTACTGTTATTTAAATAAATACAAAACATGTTTAAATTTGTAAATGTGTATGATAAATAAATGTATGGAGTTAAAGTTATTTTAACAGTACAATTATGATCTACCCGAAACGCCGTTTTTTTTCTTACGACAAACGGAGGCAGCACCCGACTGTCCCACACAGACCCAGCCAACACACACTGCTGTTTCATGGCACTAATGGATAGGAAATACAAGTGCTAGTAGGTTGAGCTGATGAAACGCCGACATATATATTTGTAAGCAAATTATCACTTAATAACACTCCATTTACTGGGTTCAACATTACATCCTTGTTTTCCTCTTGAGTCTACCGGGTAAGTTAACATGGTCTGTCTGTTAGCTTTAGTTAGCTAGCTTCGACTAAGCTAACTGGGAAATGCTACGTTGCTATCGACGCTAGAATTTTTTGTGCAACAACACAGTAAACTTGATTAGTTAAACTGGCCAAATTATGTTTGTTCCTTAACCTTATTTTTTGAAAGTGTTGTCATGTATCATCTTATAATGTATACGGCATCACGGAACGGATCTTCACGTCGGTGCGGTGGCTGTTATGATCTTTAACGTTAGCCCATTCTTGACCTGCATTTATCTGGTCGAGTATTCGAGGGACCTGGGTGGATAACGTTAGCATCTAAATATATTGCACAAGTCTGCTCTGTCCGGTTTCTGAATAACGCCTTTAATGCATAACCTGCCTTCAGGCCTGTGCTTTGATTTGATAGCAAACAACAGATGTTATCATCTTAATCCAGTGCCTGTTTGTCCTCTTCAGCTGGGGTTGACTCCCTGTAATGTAACATAACTGCTGCTATATGACCACATAGCAAGTCATGCTTCGACATTAATATCGACAACATTAGCTCTCTAGGTTAACAAGTCATCCCCTTTAATCCTCTTATAAAGCAAATCAAAATGTGTACTCTTACGTTATTTCTCTGTGGTGTTTTGATCTACAGCCACTGTTTTATTATGGCGTTTGTTTGTATTCTAGTATATGAGAAGTGTGCATTAGGAACATACATTTGTTCAACCCTCAACTGTAATTTGAGCCTTTGCATGATGGGAGAATATATATACACAGTCTATGGGATGGACAAAAACATGAATGGGCATGATTGAGCATATTAGTTTTCATTATGCATTGACAAGACATGACAATAGTATACTAGTAAGGTAACACATATTTCAAACATGGAAAATGGTAAGCTGAAAATCTGTTGTATTTCAGCACCTTTGGGTCCTTGGAAATGTCCTTTTTAATTAGATTTGATTGTAATGTCATTGCACATTGCACAACGAGTTGCATTTAGTATCCATACAACCAGAAAGGCCAAAGAGTAGATAAAATGCAGATGAGGTTACAGTATACAATGTATGCTTTGTCTCAGCTTTAGCAGTCAATTAGATTTAGTCAGCATTGTTAGGAACTTAAGCAATACAATGTACATGTGGGTGTTTCCTTAATGTTTTTTTCTTTAAACGTAGTCTATACTTGCACACAATGAACAAAGATGCATGTGTAGAGTGTCTTTAGTGTAATTTCTAAAAACACTATGAGGTTTACGATCAGATAACATCTTCCTTCCCATGTTTGCTCATATCACAGATGGATACGAGTTTGGTCTGACACAAGCAGAAGTAGCTCAATGCTACAGTGAGCTTTATACAACATGTCCTTGAGCAACCTGCAAAACCAAAGAGTCCTTCAATGATCCTAGCCATGATATCCTCATAAACTATACCCACAGTCTAAAAACATGCATTTAGAATCAACGGAAAGTATGCTGACCCTGGTTGTGTTTTTCTGTGTCCAGTGTGTAGACAGCTATGGGTGGGCTGGGAAATGTACGTCGTGGAGGAAGATCACCCCCTCTAATGATCGGCGCTCTAATTGCCTGTATCCTGGTTCTGGGTTTTAACTACTGGGTGTCAAGCTCCCGCAACGTGGAGCTAGAGGTAAGATCCTCTTTGTGTCTGTGGTTTACTACCAGAGTGAACAGTGCAAACATCACCTCTAAATTCAATTATCAGTTGTACATCATTTGAAGCGTCTCTTGTTGGAAATTATTACAAACCCTTTTTTTCTCAGAATAGATCTTGCAATGTCAGCCTGTGGCGTTTCCCTGAACTTAATGTGTTTACACAGTTCACATGTTGTATAATGATTAAACACGTGGTTATTATTAACTGACTTTATTGGTGCAGGTCTGCAACACAATCATGAATTCCATCAGCGAAAGCTAGATAGACAGCATTTGTCTGGTCTTCCCTATATCATAGTTTGGGTTGTGGAAGGGTCTTCTGTTATGCAATTACCTTTTTCAACGTTTAAGCCATAACCTTTACCTAAACAAATTCACCATAAGCAACACACTTTACTTTCCTTTCTCATGTGCATTGTGGAACAAGACTATACATTCCCAACATTTCTCCGGTGTTGAAGATACATGTTGCTGTCCTTTTCTTACACAGTAATCATTACCTTTGTCATTAAACTCTCTCTTTGCCTGTTCGGTACAGACTAAGCTGTATGAGTTGGAGGGCCAGGTGCAGCGTGGGGCAGCAGAGAGAGGAGTAGTGGAGCTGAAGAAGACTGAGTTCCAGGTGGAAATCCAGAGACAGAAGGAGCAGATTAGCCACATAGAAAGCCTCTACAAGAGACAACTGGAAGGATCTCAGAACATCTGCAGCCAAGAGAAGGTGCACACAAACACCAATTGATGTTTAAATGATGTCTGTACAATACAAGTGGGAGAAATTGCATATTAAACTAGTGTGAACTATTGCGTCAGAGGGATTTCCTGTTAAGCAACTGTGAGTATTAATGGTGTTTGTGTTTCTGCTTCTAGGGCACACTGCTGCAGAACATTTCCTCCAGTACCAAAAGCATACAGGAACTCAAGGGTAACCTCACAACCTCAACTTCTCAAAAAATACATTGTGTTAGCTGCCAGATGAGCGCTATAGGAAATGTATCCAACTTAGTTATTGCGTGGCTCTTAATGTCTTGTGTGTTTGGACTGTAGGTCAGGTGAATCAGCTGAACGACGACCTGGGGAAGGTTCAGAAGGAGCTGCAAAGTTGCCAAGGCAACATCAAAAACCTCAACAACAGACTCACTTATGACATGTGAGATGCATATGACTTTAATCACTCATAGTTATACAGTTCTGTTTGATATTATATCGAATATAATCTTTGTTTATGTTAATACTTGACAATAACCACATTTCATCATTAGCTTAGCTTTAGGGAGGACTTGCAGTTGAGTGAATAGCTTTCTGTTATTCATGCTTAAGGTGTGTGTTTGTGTGTGTTTGTACACATGTACAGGACCCATTGCCAGTCTCAGGTCCTGTCCCAGAAGGAGCTGTGTGATGAGAGAGTTGCTGCTGCTAAACTTGAAGTTCAGAAGAAAATGGAAAAGCTCATCACCCCCTCAGGTGTTTCCTCAAAGGTACTTTGCTTTTCTGTTCAAAACTAACCATTGGAAATAATTTAAACAATTCTTACTGTAGGTTTGGGGATTGGGATCAAACCTAATCCACTTCTGATTCTGTATTCATTCTAATCTTTGAACGCCAATCATCATAAATGCTTGAGGCTTGATTTTTATCCTCTTAATAAAAAGGTCGCTCTGCGTAAACTCAAATAATTTTATCGTGATCTGCTAAAATATCATATATTTTCCCATGCATATTATTTTTCTATATCTGTTAAAAAGCATACTCTGTACTCCTTTTACATGCAAGAGTGGACATTAAGTTAATGTTGCACCTTGTTTAGTAACACAATCAAAAAGGAATAAGTTGGCCAGGGTTTCTAACTCTAGTTTTTTATTAAAAAAAACCCATCTAATAGCATTGACTGATTTCGACACTTCCTACATTTGTTAATTACTTGACATGCAGCTGTTTACGTAAAGGAATGTGGTTTATGATGGTGTTTACTCCTCAGTCGGAACATGCAGTGGCTGAAGCCTCAAAAGAAGACGGAGGAGTCACGACTGGGGCTGATGCCGTTAAAACAGAAACTCTAGAGGGCAACACGACTCTCTCTCAGCCCAACGAAGAGGACCCATCCGAACTACTGACCAATGAGATCGTCGTGGACAAAGGTAACAAACATGGATGTCATGACACTTCAGTGAAGTTAACTGAACTGGAACTCAAAAGCATGCAATGACACTAATACGTACTGAAAGTGTATGTTGTACATTCAATGCATTTTGTATCTGTTTACATAGACTGATGTAGATTTTTGATTACAAGTCTACATCCTCACATACTACTTGCTTATTTCCTAGGTCCTAATACCCCAGTAGACCTGCCTACAGGAAAAGATCTCTCCAAAATTGATTCCCAGTCCATCCCCTCGGCGGCTGCAGTCAAGCAGGAAACTTTGCTACCACCAGAGGGAGCTGTCCTACCTCAGGAGGGGGAGGCAGAGACCAGTGAGCCTGTAAAGAACAACCTCACAGAGGACAAAGAGATGGAGGTGATGGACGTCCATGGAGAGGACACTCAGACTGAAGGTACAAGGCCTTGGTCACTAAAAGCACTAGTTTTTTTTATTTCTAACCCGGCATTCTCAGTGGAGAGATGGTGACATTTAAGGAAATTAACCAACAATTTGCTCACGTCTCCAGAGGCAGACCCTGTGATGGACGGCATGCTGATGAGCCGGGTGAAGGTAGAGGACGCTCCTCTCAGTCAGAAACCTGAGGAGCCAGAAGATTATGACGCAGACGAGCAGGTGGTGGGCGGAGTCGATTTGGAGAAACAACGGCGGAGTAAACTAGCTGAAAATATAGGTATGTGACATAAAGTTGTGTTTGTGTGTGTAAAGAGAGAGCAGGAATACAACGTTTCATGTTGCTAAGCACATTGTACTTTCTGATAGACAAAGACATGGAGGAGGAGCTGGCTGACTATAACGGAGACGATGAGAACGAAGGCGAGTTTGAAGCAGACAAACAGGCTGAGCTCGCCCAGACCTAAGGTATGAACTGAGGCATACACGGTGGCTTTCTTCATGAAAGTCACTAGATTATTATTAATAACACAGACTCATAGTGAGAATATCAGACTTTATATGAAGTTTTAGCTCAGACATTAGTTCAGTGATCTCTAAGAGCAGATTGAGAAACTGATCATCATGGTCGTGTCACTTTCACTTCTGAGTGACATAGTTGTGTTTTAAAACTAGTGAGAGGGTTAGTTGAGTTCTAACTTTATTTTCAGAGATTTAACTAACAGATGATTGATGGGAACACTACATATTAATGCTGTATGTTTATTTTCCCTGCCGAATGTCACTTAAGAGAATATTCCAGTTTCATGAAACAAATCTGGTTTCTGCTTTCCAGTTTAGCTGTCTGTATTTTTAACACAGAGTTTACTGTTGGACATTCATAATGCTTTGTGTACTCTGTTGCATTTACTTTTGATAGGCCTGCCAAATATACAGCTACAGTGGGGCAAAAAAGTATTTAGTCAGCCACCAATTGTGCAAATTCTTCCACTTAAAAATATGAGAGAGGCCTGTAATTTTCATCCTAGGTATACCTCAACTATGAGAGACAAAATGAGAAGAACAAACAATCCAGAAAATCACATTGTCTGATTTTTAAAGAATGTATTTGCAAATTATGGTGGAAAATAAGTATTTGGTCAATAACAAAAGTTCATCTCAATACTTTGTTATATACCCTTTGTTGGCAATGACAGAGGTCAAACGTTTTCTGTAAGTCTTCACAAGGTTTTCACACTGAGCTGGTATTTTGGCCCATTCCTCCATGCAGATCTCCTCTAGAGCAGTGATGTTTTGGGGCTGTTGCTGGGCAACACAGACTTTCAACTCCCTCCAAAGATTTTCTATGGGGTTGAGATCTGGAGACTGGCTAGGCCACTCCAGGACCTTGAAATGCTTCTTACGAAGCCACTCCTTCGTTGCCCGGGCGGTGTGTTTGGGATCATTGTCATGCTGAAAGACCCAGCCACGTTTCATCTTCAATGCCCTTGCTGATGGAAGGAGGTTGTCACTCAAAATCTCACGACACATGGCCCCATTCATTCTTTCCTTTACACGGATCAGTCGTCCTGGTCCCTTTGCAGAAAAACAGCCCCAAAGCATGATGTTTCCACCCCCATGTTTCACAGTAGGTATGGTGTTCTTTGGATGCAACTCAGCATTCTTTCTCCTCCAAACACGTCTAGTTGAGTTTTTACCAAAAAGTTCTATTTTGGTTTCATCTGACCATATGACATTCTCCCAATCCTCTTCTGGATCATCTAAATGCTCTCTAGCAAACTTCAGACGGACCTGGACATGTACTGGCTTACGCAGGGGGGGCACGTCTAGCACTGCAGGATTTGAGTCCCTGGCGGCATAGTATATTACTGATGGTAGCCTTTGTTACTTTGGTCCCAGCTCTCTGTAGGTCATTGACTAGGTCCCCCCGTGTGGTTCTGGGATTTTTGCTCACCGTTCTTGTGATCATTTTGACCCCACGGGGTGAGATCTTGCGTGGAGCCCCAGATCGAGGGAGATTATCAGTGGTCTTGTATGTCTTCCATTTTCTAATAATTGCGCCCACAGTTGATTTCTTCACACCAAGCTGCTTACCTATTGCAGATTCAGTCTTCCCAGCCTGGTGCAGGTCTACAATTGTGTTTCTGGTGTCCTTTGACAGCTCTTTGGTATTGGCCATAGTGGAGTTTGGAGTGTGACTGTTTGAGGTTGTGGACAGGTGTCTTTTATACTGATAACGAGTTCAAACAGGTGCCATTAATACAGTTAACAAGTGGAGGACAGAGGAGGCTCTTAAAGAAGAAGTTACAGGTCTGTGAGAGCCAGAAATCTTGTTTGTTTGTAGGTGACCAAATACTTATTTTACCGAGGAATTTACCAATTCATTCATTAAAAATCCTACAATGTGATTTCCTGGATTCTTTCCCCCCATTCTGTCTCTCATAGTTGAAGTGTACCTAGGATGAAAATTACAGGCCTCTCTCATCTTTTTACATTACATTACATTGCATTTAGCTGACGCTTTTATCCAAAGCGACTTACAATAAGTACATTCGACCAGGAAGACACAACCTTGAAGAAAACAGAATCATATAAGTACATCAGGTTTCATAGAGCCAAACATTTCAAGTGCTACTCAACTGGCTTTAGATAAGCCAGTCCTTTATTAGTATATAAGTGCTTTGGTAATAGTTCTATCACTCGAAGTGGAGTCGAAAGAGATGAGTTTTCAGTCTGCGCCGGAAGATGTGCAAGCTATCTGCTGTCCTGATGTCAATGGGGAGCTCATTGCACCATCTTGGAGCCAGGATAGCAGTGGGAGAACTTGCACAATTGGTGGCTGACTAAATAATTTTTTGCCCCACTGTATATCATTAAACTATAAACACACTAACACAGTATTTGTTATTTTTACAAATATTTTTTTTCCCACAGGGCCAGAGTTGGAGAAGGAGCTTGCACATCAAACACCTCAGCAACACAGCAGCAGACAGGTTCTCCGAACACAGTGAGCACAAACAAAACCAGAGGAACATCTTTATAGGAAAGACTTTGGACTTTAGTTTTGATTGATTTAAAGAATCATTTGCTTTTTGGAATGTTTTTTTAATTGTTCATCTCTAAAACGATTATGTACAATTTATTTAATTACAATTGTCATTTTATAGCTTGCAAGTTTTCTGTATCAGAGTAAGCATATTTAAGATTTCATGTTCAAATCTCAAATATGCAAATGTCAGTCAAACATGTACAATTATGGTTTCTAATTGCTATCATTCACTGTATACATGTAACCCCATGGTGTTTTTATTGTGATGATTGTGCTCACATTGATTTCAGTATGAAAAAGTAATATGAAAGTACCTAAGTACTACCGCTCAGGGGCGCCGTAAGGGGGTGAAAAGTTAGGATGATTCTAAGGGCCCGTGACTGACAGGGGCCCCAAAACATTTTAGAACATTAAGAAAAAAATGTTTAAGTAACCTTTCATCAATCATCAATAATTAACATTAATATAATGTCATATTGATGATGTACTCTCTAAACTTATGATTCATTTAACTTATTTTCTTCCAAAAGTTAATTATCCAAAGCATCGAACACCCCCCTCTATTTACATGTAATGGTTTGGTCCTGCCTCCAAACGCTGTGCAGCACCGGCCCTTTCTAGCAGAGAGACTAGTGAGAGCAGGTGAGGAGGGATGCTAGTACTTACGTGTGTACGATGTCTCAACGACTAACAAAGTCAGGCTTTCAAGAAAGAAAAGAAAGGAGAGAAAGACAAGAGAGAGGGACTAAAGGGCCACAGTATGTCACCCAGTTTTTCAAAAGAAAAGGTGGGTGTGGTCCATGAGTGGTGGAAATTAGTCTGTTGGCTAAGCGTAGTCCATTGTAAATAATAATTGTAATGTTTTGCTGACATTAAAGGTGGGGTATAGGTACGTTTGAGAAACCGGCTCGAGATACACTTTTTGTTATATTGCATGGAATGCTCTTAACATCCCGATAGCAATGAATATCTTAAGTGCTTTGACAAAAAATCCATTACCTGTACAGGTAGTTATTTAAAGCATAAATGAGTCGGTTGGGTTCTGAAGGTGTGGTTACAGCATTGTGCTTTGTTGGCGTGGCCTGGGTCTGGTGGTTGGGCCCAATGTGATATATTTTCATGGGGCCCAAAATCCCTGGCGGCACCCCACTCCTGGTGTTGGTTAAGTGTTATTTAAGACATTTCAAGACTTGACTTGGAAAGATTGAACATTTCAACATTGCTGGGAATTACTAGGCTTTGACCATGTGATTAAATGTGTGTATTATGTTCACTCCATAATGACTGTAACTTGAATGATGACACAAATGTGATGATGGTGTGCAGACCCTTAAAGGGCCATGGTGTGTATTACTGTAATGTGCTGACTACGGGTCAATGGCTGGAATATGTTATTTAACAAAAGGTCTGTCAGAGAACGCAAATGAGGTTTTCCAGAACTGTAGCAAATGAAGGAGAGTGCTGAGATTCTAGTTGGACTGCTGAGTACATCTGTGTCATTATGAGGCAGCGGCTTTTCAAGTAATGTGTAACAGGACATTTTAGATCTATGAGAAATCATGTCTAGATTGTCGCTTGATTGAATTTGGGATCAACATCTGGGATCATTTAGAAAAAAAACAGATTATAATGAAGCGAGTTATTTGAAACATTTGTACATTATTGTCTCATGCCTTATTGATTGTGTGTACATATGGAGTCAGATTTGGGTCAATATTCTAGCGCGAAAAACAAGCTACTCACGAGCGGAAAATGTGCTTTTACACGCGCATGAAATGACCCTCGAGCGCAGATTAGACCCCCGCAAGTATGGAAAGCCATTTGCGCCATTATTCGCACGAATTAACGGAGAGGTCCGTTTATTCGCGCAAATTAACGGGGAGGTCCGTTTATTCGCACGAATTAACGGAGAGGTCCGTTTATTCGCGCGAATTAACGGGGAGGTCCGTTTATTCGCGCGAATTAACGGGGAGGTCCTGTTTATTCGCGCGAAACTACGCGCGAATAAACGGGGAGGTCCGTTTGAGTTCAAAGTTTCAGTAACCAATCAGTTAAGAGCAAGACCAAAGCAATCTGTAGATGAAAAGTTCCTGACATTGTGAGGCTGTAAATTGTACGTTATTCCAGATTCAGGGGACTATGTGTTAATTTGCCTTTCAATATAATAAATATATCAATCAATATAACCTGCCTTCATTGTCTTTTAAAATAAAATCGCCTTACCTTACCTTATCTTACTGAAGTGAAGGGTATTTATGTCTCCTTAAATCACCTTTTAAATGTACTTCTTATAACATGGCATGGTGTAACATATCAAAATGTTCAGTCTCTGGTTTTGCTAGAAATGCAATGTCACTCACCTTAGAGCACTGTCTTATGAGATACTTAGCTTAGAAATCAGATTTTTGGAAAACTTAAAAACTCTTGTGAAAACACATATGTACTCATGTCATCCATTTTTTTTGGTGTTTCAGATTTGGTTTACCAACGTTTTTGGTTCACAAAAGTAGTGAAATATATGAATTACACTATAGGCCTATATAAATGTGTTGTTCATGTCTAAAATGAAAATGTGTAAATTAGAATTTGGAGTAAAATAGTTCTATCACTCTACTTTCACCACAGAAAAGTTACATCAGGACTGATTCATGACTTCATATTCCATACTGAGGTTCATGTGATGTGTACAAATACAAATTGAGCATTACACCTTTTTTTTTTCAACCAACTATTTATGTTAACATAAGAAACTGTAAAATCTCAATATTTACAATACAGGGTTCATACACTTTTTCACCAATGATTTTAAATGACTTTTCCCATGACCAAAACAAATTACTCTTTCATGTGGCTAGCATGGGCTGCCTCGCCCATATTCGAAATATCGAATATGTTACAACAGTTTGCATTTAGCACGTCTTGGGTCAATGTCTTTTGATAACCACAATTGGTACTTAACCTTTAGAAGCCATACCTTGTTGAAACTGCAGTTCCCTGGCATCTTTATATCAAATAGTAGCTCCTGTAGACTAGAGGGCGTGATTGTAAACATCTCTCACCAGCGAAATACTGCCACATTTGCCATTTTACATTTCATTATACGATACAGTATGTATTATTATTGTGAAGAAAACTTCTGTCTTTCAATGTTGAGGTGAAATGGAGTCTGGTTCGTCTTTAGCCACAGCACTGAGAGTTTATTTAAGAGTACATTTAATACAGCCGGGGAGGTAGCCAAGCTTCGATCCTTGTCAAGACGAAACCTGGCCAACTCTGCCACAAAGGCGAGACACCACGCACCAACATGAGAAGGGGCGGAACCACAGAAGCCCGCGCTTTACCTAATCAATGGCAGATGTCGGGACAATGATCTGTTTGTCTCGCAAATGCATGGAGACAGGAAACCCTCCCCCACAGGAAAGGCAGAGAAGCTTTTGACCTGTGACCTCAACTTACAGAGAGGATCTTTGACTTTAACGCAAAGCATGTTTGCAAGATTCTAAGAAAAGATGAGAAACTCTATACAATCAAGATCAGATTAAAAATATTCTCTGTCTTTTTCTTTTTATCAATCTATTGATAACCAATTAACATTAGTCTAAGAATATTTCAGTCAATACTTAAATCAATAAGCGTCTTCAGAGTTGGGTGGGCTCACTCACATTAATACATCAAAAGTAAAAACAAGATTGAAAACACTTCAATCACCATGATTGAACACAGTCAATCATAATAAAAATCATCTCTCTTCAGTGTTTGGCATCTTTTGTCAAAAAGCACAATAATAAACACACATGAAATACAAAAATATAATAGCAAAATATATGTTTCAAAAATAAGATCTTTTATCATGTATCACTCAGTTAATCTCATTCATCAAACACAAATTCTAAATCAGCTTACATCTCAAAGATTTACTTCAAGGCAATTACTTATTAAAAACACAATTAGAATTTAGGATTATAAGAAATCCAATTGAGGTATACAATCAGAATCATGAGAGATCCAGTTAAGGTATAAATTCACAGTGATGAATCGATCAATCTGTAAAGTTACAGTGTCCTCAATCTTTAACATTACTTTACGTTTACTTCATTACGCTTTATTCAAGAGTAAGGCACTTAGTGATACATTTATTTCATTCAAATACATTTGTTCAAAATCTGAAAAGGAAGAATCAGACATTTTATTTGTATAACAACCTGAAAAGGAAAAATCAGACATTTGTTCTTTAATTCAGAGTATCAACTGTAATCAATTGTCAAAACATCTGTTCTTTATTCAGAGTATCAACTGTAATCAATTTCTCAAATCGCTGAATGGAGGTACCCATGGGTCAGAAACCGCGATGGAGACCCAGGGATCTGGAAGCTCAGCGTTGTACATCAATATTGTGTCATTTACAGTCGAATGCCCCACTTGGCAACCCTTCGCACGGCTAATTTAACCAGTGATCAAACAGATCACTAGGATTAGCACAACCAAGATAAACACTGAAACAGTAACAACAAATTTAACCAACCCCGCTCCCCAGGATCCAAAGGTTCCACTTAACTCCCCAAATGTAAACCCATGAGTTTCATGCAATTCTTTTATTCCCCTAGCAGTATCATGAGCCATATCCATAACTTCAGGTGTGGCATCAGAAATGAAAGAACAGCACTCACTTCCTATCACCTTGCATGTGTCCCCCTGGGCAGCTAAGAGGAGATCAAGCGCCATGCGATTCTGTAGTGCTACTGTCCTAACTTCCTGCAATTATTTGTGTTCAGCTAACATCGCTGTGTTGGATACATTTAGATGGTGTTCTACAACTTTGGACAGTGCCACAATTTCCTGCTGAGTAACATAAATACTGTACCAAGGCAAAAATAGGCTAGCTATCTGTTGTCCTTGTGTAATTGACCTGCTGTTCCTGTGTAGAGAGGGAAGTATCACTGCGATCTCATTAGCCTCTACTTTACGGATTAAAGGGATTAGGTAGGCTAGATAACAGGTGCCATAAAAAACGTCATATGGCACACAGCCGTACGCGCGATCCCCACAAACTAAGTAAACTCTCTGTGGGAGGGGAATTCTGGCTAAGTTTACCCTCACTATGGTATTGCAGTCGCTGTGTCCCACATCTGGAGAGGTGTGAGATCCTACTTCATTCTGGAAACAGATGGACACATTCTTCCATTCATGCACCACAATTGGGGGAACATATACTGAGCAGTCACGTGTAGGGGGCTTGCCTAAGGGTATTGGCTGTGTACAGTCATGTATTTTAACCTCCACGGAGTCCACTGTTCTAGAGCCAAACCAGGGCACAACTGTTACCAAAGCTTCAACCAACAAGGAGGGTGTGTGTGGTTGCATTATACATGGACTTGTAAAGTTAGTCTGAGCTAGAGCTAACTGGAATCTATATTCAAAAGCTAGGTTAACGTATTTCTTCATATATATTAGTTTTAAAAATATCAACCGTTTGAAACCGTCAGGCAGGTAATTTTTATTTACTGTATCAACAATGAGAGAGACTAAGCCCTTGTACTGTAAAGGTTGCTCAGAGTCTATGGGGTAGGAAGGAGTGTAACAATCCTCCGCCTCATCGCTAATTCTGGATGCTATGTCATTCCAGCTCACTAAACCGTAATCAGCTTTTGTGAAAGGAATTGGGCTAAACATGGGAGAATGCATGGATTCTGGCATATTTTGGCACAACCAACAGTTGCTAACATTACGTTCATGCGCGTAGTCTAACATTAAACTTACTGCAGAATTAGTTTTAGTTCGTTTAAAAGGAGTGATTAAGGCCTTTTTTGAAGAATCTACCTCACCTTCTGATTGTTTAAGTGGAGTAACATCACCTTCTGATTGTTTAAGTGGAGTAACATCACCTCCTGATTGTTTAAGTGGAGTAGATGGAACATTTGTTTTGCTATCTGGTCCAGTAAATGTGCATGCAGTGACACCTGGATTGGGAACCTGGTAATCTGGTTTCCTCATTGTACATTTTACCTTATCCCTTATCAGTGTCTTGAACTGTTCTACAGTGCTACACCACAGTTCTGGGGGCATTTCTTCAATGGTGTTGAGAGCCATTCCTACCACCTCTGATGAGACCCCGAACCAATGGTACTGGTTCTTTGGATACATCTCCCACGTTGGGTAAACTAAGGACACAGGAAACACAATAATACAGTTAGATGAGTCACATATTGAAATTGGGCAGTTAAAAGAAATAGTCTCTGACTTATGATCAGGGAGGGAGACAATCCTCCTTATTCTCCCTCCTTTTCTCTCTCTTTGTGTCTCTTGCACCATACTGAATGTCTGTGTGGTGATTGGATACAACCTGTCCTTGTCGCTAGGCACTGCTTTGCCCGTTGGTGTTGTTTTGCCCTGAGGGGTCAAGTCGTCTGCGCTCTTAGGTAAGAGCACCTTATTTTCTCCCTCAGAGGGGCGAGAGCCCCCGCCACCTGTCGTTGGGATTTTCACAGCTTCATCCAGCAGGGCGTCCTTGGCCAGGTATAGTAAACCCAGAATGACGATGATGATGACTGCCTTCACACGCCAGCATCCGGTAGAGGAGAGAGACGACATCTGGAAGCGTGAATCCACTCCGCTCTACCTTGTACTCTCAGGGCTGTTCTGGTCACTATTAATACCTGGAAAGGACCTTTCCACCTGGGAGACAAAGAATCTTTTTCAAGCGATTTGATTAGTACATTATCACCAATCTGAAAAGGGTGGGTGGGCCCCTCTCCAGGCTGAGGGAGCCTGTCAGCCTGTGAAACTTTCTCAACATGTCAGTTAGATATTTGACATAGTTAAGCCCTGTCGTTGCATTTGGTGCGCTTCTGATGGAGCACAGAACTAGCGGCAGCGCGTCTACCCATTTTAGTCCTGTGGTCAACATTGTTTTAGTGAGTTTCTCCTTTATAGTCAAGTTCATTCTCTCAACCTGGCCTGAGCTCTGTGGATGATAGGGAACATGCAATTGCCATTTGAACCCTAACACTGTAGCTAGACTCTGGGTTATCTTAGAAATGAATGCTGGACCTCTGTCACTGTTAATCCCTGCTGGAACACCAAATCTAGGGATAACATCTTTGAGAAGACACTTTACAACTGTTCTAGCGTCTTTTTCTCTGGTAGGGTAGGCCTCTACCCATTTGGAGAACTGGCACACTATCACCAA